CAAACTCCATGGTGTCTCAGTTTCATGGGGATTTTAAACAAAAGAACTAACATCTATCAATTCAAAATTCAACTTTTGAGCTGCCCCTGGAAGGTAAGGAGTATTTGGCTTTTGAGTGAATGGCAACTGAAAAATTTTAGATTTAGTAATCTTCAAAAAACAGAAATGGTGTGTGTGGGGTTGTTCAAGGTTTTAATTTCACTTTAATGTTAAAAAAAATCATACTACTGGGTAGACATTTGGAAAAACATTTTTAAGAATACAAAATAGTGAAAAGAATGGAGTATTTAAAATGTGTGCTTTCACTGAAGGAGCTTCAGAGAGATGAAAATCTCTGCAGGCTACAGGGGTCCATGTTTAATTGTCTTCCTTCACAAAAGAGATTGATCACAAGGGACTCAGAATGCCTATTGTCCTCTGTAAAAACAAATACGTGGGACTGGGGTTGTGGCTCAGTGGTAAAACACTCACCTAGCAGGTACGAGGCCCTGGGTTGGACCCTTAGCACCACATATAAATAAATAAAATAAAGGTATTATGTCCATCTACAACTAAAAAATAAATATTTAAAAAACAAAACAAAAAACCCCCACAAATACATGCCATTCAGTTTCACCATACAGTAGCAGAATTAAGTACTAGAGTACTTAAAATCTTCAGTCTAGATACAGTTAAGGCTCACCAACCTCCTTCTCCTCCTTGTCTCCTGTACTCTACAAACTCATATTACAACTTTCAAGGTTAATTTTTTCCTTCTGAATTTTTGTTTTTGGGTGCAGGGATTGAACCTGGGACTTCACTGAGTTACATCATCATCAGCCCCAAGGTAAATTTCTCATCACCTAATATGAAGCAAAATGTTGTTTATCTGCATCTCCCCTGCCCCGTGGACAGTGTCCTCCTTTTCTAAGTTGCAATCCCTTTTATTAATGAAAGGAGAAAGAAAAGAGTTTAGCTATAATTTGTTGCTTAAAATATCAGTAGTTTCCTAGTAGGCCCAACCTTCGAGAAAGGTATTGAAAAGGACATATAGCCCAAGAAGGCTGCAGAAAAACATGTAAGATAACTTTCAACCTCCCAGAGGCCAGCAATAACAAAAGGAAAATGGGCAGGGGTGGAGAGGTTTCCTGTCTATTTTATCACCATCATCAGCCTATTAAACAATTTATTTTAGAAGTTAGATTTACACAGAAAACTCAGCAAGGAAATGATTCCTCTAGAAATGGAGGGAACATGAAATCAATTTCATTTTTGGTTCTTATCAGTAAGAAATTAAAACTATTATTTATTTATTCTGGTATTGCCTCTTAAGTTGGTCTCTTCAGCTCTTCATATATGCAAAATTCATGTAAGCAGTACTTGTCTTCACCTGTAACTTAAATTTCAATTATCCTATTTTTCATTTTGCTAAGTCCTGTTCAGTTCTTTTTCTAATATGCTTAGTGACTTTTAATAGTTTCTTGTTCCTTACTTAAAATGTTTAAGGATCTGATAATATTACTATATACTTTAGGCTCTGATTCATCTGTAGTTTGTTTTTATGTTGCTCCCCAGGCTCTCATGCTGCCTTGCTTGTGAATTATATGATTTTGAGTAAGTGCCTGTATGGTACTTCTTGGGGTTGAAGGTGGGTTCTTTTTCAAGAGAAGATATGTGGTTTTTTTGTTTGTTTGTTTGTTTTTGGTGCCAGTTGATATTACTTTAAAGTAAAATCTTGGCTTAAGGTTTTTTTGTTGTTGTTGTTGTTAGTGCTTTAAGAGCACCCACATGGGGAAGAATTTGGTCTGAAATCCATGTATGAAGTAACTTTTGAGTACAAATTTTCAGAGGAGTATATATGTGTACTTATATTTTACCTCTCCATGTAGAACTAGAGTTCCAGGTAGGAATTCCTTCTTTGACCTTCACAGCCACAGCACAGTCAGTGTTTGTGAATACACATGTGCCATTTTATGTGGGACTCCTTACCTTGGGCTGATCCTGGACTTCATCTCTTCATTTGGGACCCTGAGGCTGTGAAAACTAAAGTTGTCCTTAACCTGCAGTTTGCAACTCCCTTTTTTTTTTTTGACTATGGGTAAAACTTTCTTCCGAGTTCATTTGAAAACCTTTTTTGTAGTAATGGGATTAAACCTAGTGCCTTGTGCGTGCTAGGTAAGTGCTTTACTAGAAAGCTGCAACCTCAGCCTGGAAAATATTTTTTAATTCAACAATTTGCACAATTTCCAATAGAGGGTTTATCTCATACCATAATGCTACAGAGATTTATAAAACCAACAATTCTCTCTGAAGTGATGTGAAATAAAACATGTAGGAAAGTCATTGTAACTCAGATTTTATTGCTTATTAGTTATGTCATTCCACATATTTTTAAGTAAACAGGCTTTGAGAAAATATACTGGGAGTGTTACACAGATGATGGCAATATTGATGAAAATGTTCAAGTGTTTTACATAAGGTAATAAGAGGCACCACTGCCACCATCACCCCCAGAAATATAAAAAGAGTAAAAATAGTTCATTGGCATTTAACTAGCATTATTCTTTGTAATCTATGAACCACAATAAGCATGAAAAATTTCAGAACCTTCAAAGCAAAACAAAATATTTTTTCCACTACCAAGTTTTTTTAAATGAGCAAACAAATCTACTCAACAACAAAAACTACACATAAACAACCCTAAAAACAAAAGTTGTCAAATTCTAGTGGTCCTCAATTTTGATATTAATTCAAGAAACAAAATGTGATTCCACTTTTAAAATGAGATTAAATTCTTTCACTATAATTATACTTACTATATAATTCAAATTATTTAATTGATGGCAAATTTAACAGTAAAAACCATAGAAACATCTCAAACTGTTGAGAGCCACAGCCGAAGGGGCCCCAGCAAACTTCCAGCTGCCAGCAATCCAGCTGCCGGCTGATGATTGGCTCCTTGGCCCCAGCAACATCTAGCTGATTGGCTCCTCTGCGGTGATGCTCATTGGACTGTTTCCCTGCCCTTTCAGACCACGGAGCTGCTCATTGGGGGACTTTTTGGCTCTGCCCACGTGACCCAGCCAATCGGCCTCAAGAGCAGGAGGATTGTGGGAGGTGGAGAGAAGCTTGTGGTGGGAGAGACAGGCTTGTGGAAAGCCTGTGGTGGCAGTTGAGGCTCTGAGGGGTTTTTTCCTGAGGAGCTGTTTTGTTTGGTGTGTGGTTCTAAAAATAAAGTTAGTTTCTTTTGACAAGTGGCTCCTGATTGTGCCCAGCCAGGCTGCGGCATCTGGTGGCCCGTACGGGGAGCGACTGAGGGTAAGTGAACTGCTCGCCCCTGAGGGCAGGGCGAGAGGATGGGTAGCCATTTTAAGATTCTTCTTTTGTTATTTTGTTTCACTTTTGTTTTAAGTTGCCTGTCCCTGGAGATGAGTGAGACGGAAGAAAAACCGCTCACATCTGAGGAAAAACTATTTACGACTGAGGAACAGATAGGGAGAAAGGACGGATGCACATGTCAGGAGGATAGAAAGGCTATAATGACTTTTTGTTGTTCCCTTTTTATCTCATTCTGTCTCGGTTTTGTTTGGCGTCATCTTGTTGGGTTGTATTATAGTAGAAATACGGGATCAGAAATTAGTAAAAAACAAACTGAAAGAGTGTTAAGTAAATTGTTAGAGGAAGGAGGCATCCCAGTAAAATCAATAGCAGTCAGGGCATACGTTGATACAATACAAAAATGTAGCCCATGGCTTTTTAAGGAGGAGTTGTTAAATATATCACAATGGAACCATCATGGTGAAGATTTAAAAAGAATAGAAAAGAAAAGCCCAGGGACTCTGCCAGTTGGCACATTGCCATTGTGGACGTTCGTATCTTGTTTGCTTAGTCCAAAGCCTTCAGTTCAGACAATGGTAGAGGAAGGAGAAGACATAATGATTCAAGTAAAAGAGAAGGTCTCTCAAGTTAGTCAGACAGAGGAAAAGATTCAAGTAAAAGAGAAGGCCTCTCAAGCTAGTCAGACAGAGAAAGAAAGTGTAAAACAGAAAAAGCCATCAGGGGGAAAGTTACAACAGGAGACTGCTACTAACACCTTTCTATCACCAGAGGGTGTAAGTGTCCAACCAA